TTTTTCTCCTTGTTATTTTCTTCCTTTCTCTTCCTCTCTCTCTCTCTCTCTCTCTCTCTCTCTCTCTCTCTCTCTCTCTCTCTCTCTCTCTCTCTCTCTCTCTCTCTCTCTCTCTCTCTCTCTCTCTTTACTTGACCCATACACCTCCCCCCCCCCTCTTTCCCCCAAACCCTATCCCAACTATCCTCCTTCTGCCCCCCCCCCCCTCATCCGATCTAAAACCCTTCCCTTTGCTTCTGATGTTTAATTGCCTGCAGCGTTACGAAGCAACTGAGTCAAGTGCCATCACAGTCAGTATTTTGTTGTTAATGTTGTTAAAGATGGTGATGGTGGTGATGGTGGTGATGGTGGTGATGGTGGTGATGGTAGTGATGGTAGTGATGGTGATGGTAGTGATAGTGGTGATAGTGATGATGGTGGTGATAGTAGTGATGGTGATGATGGTGGTGATTGTAGTGATGGGGGTGATGGTGGTGTTGGTAGTGATTATAGTGATGGGGGTGATGGTAATTGTGACGGTGATTTTGGTGGTGATGTTGTTATTGTTAATAATGATAATAATAAAAGATGTTTATTAGTCGTTATTATTGTTCTAGTTTCACCCGCTGTTGTCACGGTTTTTTTTCATTGTTGTTGATGTTGAGTAAGTGTGAAAGGGAGAGGGGAGGAGAGGGAGAGGGGAGCAGAGGGAGAGAGAGAGAGAGAGAGAGAGAGAGAGAGAGAGAGAGAGAGAGAGAGAGAGAGAGAGAGAGAGAGAGAGAGAGAGAGAGAGAGGGACAGGGACAGGGACAGGGACAGGGACAGGGACAGGGACAGGGACAGGGACAGGGCCAGGGCCAGGGCCAGGGACAGGGACAGGGACAGGGACAGGGACAGGGAGAGAGAGACAGAGAGAGAGAGAGAGAGAGAGAGAGAGAGAGAGAGAGAGAGAGAGAGAGAGAGAGAGAGAGAGAGAGAGAGAGGGAGGGAGGGAGGGAGGGAGAGGGAGAGAGAGGGAGAGAGAGTGGGGATTAGGGGGAAGAAGGAGAGAGAGGGAAAGGGAGAGGGAAAGAGAGAGAGAGAGGGGGGGAGTGGCTTCTATTGACCTGTCACTCTCCGGATTCTAACGCTCACTTGCTCTGTTCAATAGGTGAGTTTCAGGCGCATTTCCCGAGTTGATTTCCTGCCTTGTGCCTTTTAAATGCACGATAAATACATGTTAAAGGACGCGTGCATGATTCTGGATTTCTTTTGGGCGGGAAAATATGAATGAAATCTTAATATTTGCTTATTCGTGTATCTACATTTTTGTGTGCTTTTATTACTTTTTCTCTCTGTCTCTCCTCTTTTCTCTCTCTTTCTCGCCTCACGCGTCTCTCTCTCCCTCTTCTCTGTCTCTGCTCTTTCTTCTCTATATTCTCTTTCTTCTCTTTATTCCCTTCTCTCTCTCTCTCTCTCTCTCTCTCTCTCTCTCTCTCTCTCTCTCTCTCTCTCTCTCTCTCTCTCTCTCTCTCTCCTTACGATTATGATGATAATGATGAGGCACAGAGAGAGAGAAAGAGAGAGAGAGGGAGAAAGAGAGAGAGAAAGATAGACACACACACACACACACACACACACACACACACACACACACACACACACACACACACACACACACACACACACACACACACACACACACACAAAGACTAAGGGATAAAGACAGACAGACAGATGGATGGGTAGACAACGCGAGAGAAATCCCTCCCCTCCCGCCCCCCCATCCTCGAAGCACCATCAACCTTTCAGACAACAATCTTGTTAACACAACTTTTGCCCAAACTTTCTTCTCCGTAGGCGCTTTTACACGGGATTAGCCTGACAACAGATTTTTTTTTTTAATTATTACTTTTATCGTCATTTTTAGCTTTTGTTATCATCATTATTATTATTATCATTTTTTCATGTATCGTATATTTTCCTTTGTTTACATCGCTAGTGTTTTATCATATGTTATTTTTTTCTGAATCATACCTGGTTAGTGTGATGTTTTTGTTGTTGTTTTTTAATATCTCTTCATATAAAGTACCTTTTCGGTGTTTCACAAACTTCTTTGTATCTGTAAGCTATGGAAATTTTATTCATTACATAAAGTGCATATGGTGTTTGTCTGAACATATATAAACTGTTTTAGTGTGCTTCCCAAACAGCTATTAATTCACAAAGTAGTATAGAAAATAGTAAAATCATTAATGTGTTTATCCTATCTGTAGTACCTTATGACCTCCCCCACCCCCTTGCTCAGCTCTCTCTGTACTCTCTCTACTATCTATCTATCTATCTCCTATCGCGTAGCAATTACAGTGAAAGGTCTATGGATTACCCACACATTTATACACACTCCCTCTCTGCCTGTCATCTTCCTTTCACGCTCCCTCCCTGTTTTTTTATTCGACCTATCCTGCTTCTGTTTTTTCCTTCTCTCCCTGTCTCCTTCCCTCCCTTTTAAGACACTTCCTCCCTGCTTCTATCTTTTGCTCCAACACAACCGCATTCCCTCTCCATCTCTCTCCCTCTTTCCCTCCCTACCACTCTCCCTCCTGTCTTCCGTTCCT